GGGAAAATTGTCTTAATTTAAAGTTTTCTTCCATGACTTTCTCTTAGTTCTTTGAGAAAGAAGCTATTTGAAGGCTACTGAGCGCCAGTGGACAACCAAGTGAATGACAAACCACATTAGCAGCTGAGCCTGGCCATGCTGGGTGCTGTTGTCCTTATGGCTATGTCAGCTCACGGATGAGGTTTTATACTATATCCGTCCCCTGCCGTCAGATTTTCCTGGGTAAAACTCTTCCTAGTTTACGTGGTAGGACACATGAGGGTTGCAATGTCTCTTCAAAGTGCAGAAGTGGACAAATCGGAGAATCATGTTCTTTGACGCACTGTTGGGCTCCTCCTTCAACCTGCCCGGGTACTTCTGGGCCTCCCTTCTGTCTGGATCAGCCCGGCAGCTCCGCACGGAGCCTCTGTAGCCCAGTAGGCCACAGGCCCAGGTCACAGCGGTTTCAGGAAGGCTGCCAGGGCTCAGCTGGGCTTGGTATTTCCCCTCCTTCCAGCAACTTCTGGGCTCTTACTTAGTTTTAAATTACATAAAAATTGCAGCACATGGATTTGAATTAAAACAAGAGGCCTGATCTTTGTAGTATGCACCACATCAATAGAAAAGCTAATTTGTGCAAAGCACATCTCCTCCTTTAATTTAAACCACAGAGCTCTGCCTCTTCAGTTTCAAGGGACCTGAGCCCTGGGCGGGGCAGCTCACTCCAGGCATTAACTAGGGCTGTGCTGAGAGCGACAGGAACAGTTTCAGGGGAGCTTAGCGTTCCTCTTAAGCCCTTTGTGCTGGGTGTCACACGATACAGCAGAGCAGTTACGAACTTCTGGCCTTGAATTTAAAGAAGGTCTTAAAATGTCTCAGGGTAAACTTTCTCAATTGACTCTTAGCTGCAACCTAGCTACCAAAAACAGAATTTGCATTATTAAAAGCTTCTCAAGACAGAGAGAGCAGAGAAACCACTCTACTCCTGACCTTAAGACTATTCCTCATTTTCAAGTTCCAAGGCTGTGTGTGTGCATGTGTGTGTGTGTGTGTATTACTAGTCTACACAAAACAAATTGGGTAGGGTCTGTCCTAGGCAAGAAATTCAACCTGGGCCCTGACAGTCGCTTCATTTAGTTTAACTGGCTCTAGGGGCCAACGGTGGAGGCGGCCATAGAGGTGGTGAAGGTAGCAGTAGGGTGACATTTACTCAGAAACACTGCTGAACCGCAGCCATCTACACAGCTCCATGCCCTTGCTTCAGTGCTCTCTGCAAGTAGTGTGGGCCCACCACCACAAGCGAAGTCATGAGCAGCTGGACCCCTCTGCACACTGTCACCTCCACATGTATCCAGATTTGGAGACAGGTCTGATTCAAGTTTTATGGGGCCTAAAACTTATACAATGGGGACTCTCTTTAAGAAAAATGATACAAAAACATCTTACAAATTTTATATGCCACCAAGACACACTGCTAGGGCCCATCTTAGGGTCTTGGAAGGGGGACATGAGGGAGCCTGAAGCTCAAGCTTCTTTAACTTTACAAATAAATCCACTTCTGTTTGGAAAGCATCACCAGCTCTCCTCTGCCCAGTGTCAAAGGGGCATGCATAAGGTGAGGGTAATGATGACAAAAAAGGATTTGTCAAATGGTAGGTGTAACTGAGTAAGACAGAAATTCTGGTTCTTATTTGATTGGCCTTTGACCCATCTGTGATGCGAGGTCTCGGTGGACCAAGCTTGGCCCAAAGCCAAGCTCTCTCTCTCTCTTAGGCCACAAGCCACCTTAAGGGCAGGGCTCACATCTTTGTCTTTGTTCATTCAAATGCCTACCCAAGAGAGCCTGTCAGGGAGTGTCTGCTGAATGAGTAGCTGCGTGATGGATGGATTGAATATGTGAATAAATTCACACTCCCATTTTAGATTGAGGGTCATTGTTGTTTACCTTCTCTAAAGGACTCTTTGAAAAATGTTTTGAGCTATGTTAAAAAAGACTCCACCTACATTTTTAGTAAGGTATGAACAACAAGATTCTGCCAGAGAGCCTCTAAAGTCATGCTTCTACTGGACGACCAAAACCACTCTAGGCATAATTAAGAACATTAAACCACATTACACGCAAATATTCCTTAAGGGGGTTGGCTACTTCTTTCGGTTTCAGCAGCTGTTGTGCCCACACACCCAGAAAAGGCTAGAGGGTGTGTCATTTGATCTGCTTTTCACCTCCTTCTTTGGCTCACGATACCTTAAGTTTGACCTTCTAAATTCTTTATTTCTTGGCAAATAGATTTTAAACTTGAGGTCCTGAGTGAAGTATGGTATATCAGAGTCCATGCAAAAAAGCAAAGGCTGGTCTGGAGCATTTTCTTTTGAAGAAAAATACTGCCCTGCACATGGTGAGCTCCCCTGATCCTTCTTACATTCTGAAGAGGTGACTGGGCACAGCATAGAAACAGCCTGCAGCTGGGTGGGGTGTCGCCCTCATATGTGGTTTATTGCGAACTGGATAGGGGTCAGGTTTGCATGAGGGCAGTGTTAGACATGCTGGAGTTGGCCTGGCCTAGAAGGAGCACAGTTCTGATTTAACTTTTGTTCTCATGACCTTGAGGGTAAATCTGAAGTGGTGTCATACAGAGAAGAAGGCTCTACATTCAAAGTCAAGAGGCCTACTGGGTTCAAGTCTCAATTTCACCTCTAATCAGTTGTCAGATTGTGAACAAGCTACCCAAATTCTGCATGTCTTTCTCTCTCTCTTTCTCTTTTTTAATCTGCAGAAAGAGACCAATAATGCTTATCCTGTCTTGTCCTGGCTTTGAGTCTCAAAACATTGCTCACAGAAGGTCTTAGAAAGGTATAAAGCGACTTTTGAGTCAAGCATCTGTGATTCCGTTACACAACCATCTAACACAGCAATCTCCTCATTTTAAAGCTAAGACAGCATTTTAGTGGAAAATCCAATGTTCTTAATGTTAGCTGATGGGTATTCCCTGAATTAAACTAATAATGTCAATTCCGTTAATGTGATGGGGTTATTGATTTCCTTCTAGAGGGTGAAGATGCTTACCAGATAAGTAAGAATTTTAGGCTCTGTGGGCCATATGGTTTCTGTTGCAACATTCCTCTATCCTTGTAGCACAAAAGCAGCCACAGACAGGGTGTAAACAGAGGGGTACAGCTATGCTCCAACTTTATATACAAAATTCGTGTGAGCTAGGTTTGGTTCAAAGGCCATAGTCTGTTGACTCCCTTCTTTAGAGTATCATAAGGTAGCACCAAATTCTGGGTTTCCTCACATTACACACCATACTGCTGGCCTCAATTTTTAATGCAGCTCCAATCCAACAGCTAAGCAAACATAGAAGGTGCCAAACCCAGAAAACCATCAAGCCACAAGGTTATTTGGGCAGATACTTCACATCCCAGCATGGCTATTTAAAACTTTGCACTTTTCTCAAAATCTTCTTTGTAAAAATAAAGCATTGTTTAAAATAATGATATCCAAGTTTTAAAAACAAGCCATCATTCTCCAGAGTAGAGCTACTGATATTTTGATGGGAAAGAAGGAAAAGTGCTTCCCAACTCCTAGAAATGCTTTGCAAAAATGCCACCCACTGCTGCCTTCCTATTTGTGTGATTCACTTTTCCCTTTGCCTTCCCATGATGCAGTCAACTCATTACCAAAGTTCATGACTCTTCTAAGTCAAAGATCGCCTGTCAGCACAACTTGTCCTCTGTGTGACTCTCTCTCTCATCCTAGCATGTCTGGAAATGTAGAGAAGCACTGTCAGAGGCCCACAGAAGGGCACTTTTTAACTCTGGGTTTCCATTTGCCCGTATTTGATTAAATGACTCATTCTCTACCTGGGAGCGGCACTCTTTGCTATGTGGAATGGGCCAGGAGGGACCTGAAGGTGAAACAAGCCTCTTATTCCTAGTGCTACTTCTAAAAATGTGAATTTTGGACACGTAGTTGGGCTTGAGGTGAAGTCTCACAAACCTGGGCTTAGGAATGGTTTCATCCTCAGCCAAGTCACTTAACCTCTTTGAGATCCTCAACCTCAGCTTTCCATCCAAGCTGGGTTAATATCTGCTTCACAGGATAGATATATATATTGAGTAGTGAATAGTAGATATTTAATAAATGATAGTTTCTCTTACTTTTTCCATATCTCCCTGTATACTCCAAATTTTGTTTACTCTATTCTGAAGCAGTTTTTTGTTTTACTCTCATGTATCTTCCAATAAGCTGCCTCTGGGTGTAACGTGAGTGTAATGTAAGGGTACATACACACAGAAAGCATGTAAGGGGAAATGTCTCCAAACAGGGAGAGACTCTTGGTAGGAAAATTAATTGAACAGAAAGAAACACAATCCCCAGAGTAGTTCCGGTCAGCAAATTCATTTTGTTTATTTTCTATGGGGAAAAGGAAACTTCTGGTATGGTTTGAGAGCACAGACCTTGTCGGTTTCATCCACCTGTGCCCAGAACTGCTCTTGGCATTAGGTGAGTGTACAACTAATACTTGTTTTCTTAACTGACAGCTGAGCATACCTGAATATGATTCACTTTTGTATTAACCATGGGAAGTCCCTGGAGCTTTGCAATAGGGGAGGAGCAAGGGTTCTAAGGAGAAGGAGCCTTAACATTGCACAAAAATGACACCACTGACACCACTTACACACAATCTACCTTCAAGTATGGAATTTGTGAAATGATGATATAAATTTCCCCAAGTGAAAATTGATCTTAAATAGGTCAGGGGAAAGTCCAATGCCTATTCTAGGCCAGCTTCTGGCAGATACTGAACATTGAGGCCATTCCAACAAAATCCTCTTTCATTTTGTTTCCTTTCTGCAAAGAAGCATCCCGCTGTTGCTCAGAACTTACAGATAGCAGCGTGATAGTATGTACAATAGGATGAAGAAAAGTTATGCTTCCCCAGAAGGTCTCCAAGTATCCTCGTGGTTTCCCAAGTGCTGGGAAAGAGCAGCAGCACTAACATGTAATGTAGCTCACGTACCTGAGAACATCATCATGTGCTGAAAGTTCCAGGGGATCTTCCGTTTCCGGCCCAGATTCAGGAGGAAGGAGAGGGGATATATATTGCAGGCTCTGGCTACAAAAATTGCTAGCTGTAGATGAGCACAGGGCAGCATTGAGGAAAATGTTGTTGCAATAAAGGTGAAAGTCCTTGAGCTTTAAATATTATACCCTTAAGCTTCTCTATATTATGACCCAGAAAACAAGGATAAACATGTCAATACATATATGTCCAACTTGGTTCCAGAATTCGTCTTTCAATGTCAGCTCCTTTCCAGAAATAATGGAGAACTCTGTCTTCTTTGAACATATACTTGGTTTAAAATTGTTAACCCAATACCATTTCCATCACTGTAAATTTTCTCATCACATTTATGTTGCAGATAACTGACTCTAGGCTCAATTCTACTGCAAGATGTGAGGCAGAGATCTTTCCGAGGCTGTGGCATTATCCTCTCAAGCAGCACGTTAGGAAGGATAAATGTGCTTCAGCTCATGATTATCATCTTACTTTCCATCAGTTTATACTCCCTAAATCTAGCAAGCTTCACTTATTTTTTTCTTTTAGTGGATTTAATTTTGAGAGGAACTGCCTGTCTAAATGTATAACACAACTGCTACGTTAAGAGATGTTTCATTGGAATCCAAGCTTTACAGTTAAAATCTAGGAAAATGGTGGTAGTCATCTCTTCCCTTTGTCATCCTGGACTCCTCCCCTGATTGTCTGTTCTAGTTTGTCCTCGGATGGGATGGGGTTATTTGGGAAGAGGGAGCTTCTTTCTAAGGTACAGATTTTGGATTGAATTTGAAAATTCACTTGACTGATGAGTGAAAAGAAAACGGGAGGCAAATACAGTTGGACTGGGGCTTCCAGAGAGGAGGAGTCAACTCTTCTGGCTGTTAGGATCACCTGCCTGTGGTCAAGGCAGCATCTGCCCATTTTCCAAGTGGCAAGAAGGACAGAAACTTCTGCTGTCCCTGGGGACATCTGGAGTAGCTCTGTTTTTTCAGATAGACATCCACTGGAATGCTTACACCCCTGGCTTAAAGCTAGAAAAGCCCTATGCATTCATTAAAAGTGAGGTCTAGATTCTACCTGTCCTACTGCTTATAGGGAAGGGTCTGTCTTATTAAAATAAACTTACATGTGCACAATGCTTAAGATATTGAAAGCACATCCATCATGTTAATTTCACTTGGTCTTTACTCTGTCTGTCCTATTTTCAAATTCCTCACTGGAAAAAAGATTTTTCCATCTTGGAATAAAAAATATTTCTAAAGTTCTAAATTCTGGCTCTCTTCAGATACACTCTAATGCAGATTAAATATATTTCTCTATAAAAATGGATTGACATAAATTTTTATGTAAATGATTCATAATTTTAGTTAAACGTATTTTGAATATTTGAAAAATGTCATTCTCCTTTATTTTTCCCCCTTTATTTCCCTCAGTATTTTTCAAACTTCTTATCCTGAATCATAAGCAATTAATTAAGGGTGTTAATTTCTTAGGATACTTTTCTCCTCTAATTAGATTTACTTACCTGCCTTGAATTTGAAATTACTTTAATAATTTAACTGAATAATCACTAATGGTTAAGTAGTTTGTTCTCTTCTCTCATCACCCCATGCTCTGTATTTCAAAGGATACAAAGGCTCCAAGTATGAAAAGAGCATTAAAGATATGATTCTGGAATGTGAACATGGCCAGGCCCATGTAACAGAAGATGACGTTCTCAGCCAAGAAGTTCATAAATTCAAACAACTGAAAATAAAACAGAAACCAAAACCCATTAATTATGACTCAGCTTTGAATCCACTTAATTTCTTGTTATTGTATTTGGTGCTTGGAAGGGAAAGCCATCCTTTGGCCTCGTGCTAAACCTCTGGAAGGGTGGAGTGGTCCCTGCCTATTCTGCCAGGCCAGGTGACTCTATCCTGGCTTTCCACTCAGTGACAGATGCCACAGCCATGTCAACATCCCACCCTCCTTTCCAACCACAAGGCTGCCAGAGATACCTGTTGGTGAGATCAACCAGCATGACCTTCCATGGGACAATTCCTACTAGGATAATAGAATATTTCCTATTACAGAAACAGAAACTACATGATTTGCTCAACATGTACTGTCATGAATGATGCAAAAATTGTTTAGCCCTTTCTAAACCAGTAGGTACACTTGAGTTCCTAGACCCTCAAGAATTAATTAAAAAAACAAACAACTTAGCTAAACTACTTTCCTTTGGCAGGCAGGAGGGACAAACTTGGAAAACTTAGAAACGTATAATAAGGATGAATGTTGATTATATTTCAACATTAGAATGATCAATATATTTCAAACTTCAGACAGTGAGACTCATTAAATTGACTGATGTAGGTATATCCATTAAATGTCTACAATTTCTAGCTGGTAAAAAGAAAATGATTAATCCCAGGGATCAGTTTATTCAGCAAGAACACAATAGATACATCAAATTCAGTCAGAGGAATAGAGCAATAACACGTTATGCTGAGGGATCTCCCAAGACTTACTCTTAGACCATTAACTAAACAATTTAAGTTGAACATGCAAAACGTTCTCCAACTTCCAGATTAGAAGTGAAAGGGAAATGTATCCAGGGGCTATAGCGAAGGCAGGTTTGGAAGAGGCTTTCATTTATGTTCCAGACTTTTCATGTGGAAGTTTCTGAAACTTCATTCCGAGACCAACATAAATCACTCTGTTAAGTAAATGTCTCTGGAGGCATTTCTCTTGACTTTTTAAGGACTCATTATTTTTTCATGTAATGTATTTACAGCCCCACAAATAACGCCCAATACTTGTTCACTGACAGTTGACAGAGAGAAAAGCAGGATCTTGTCAGACACATTATTTAAAACCAGCATTAGAAAGAAAGGATTAAAAAGACATAGCTTCTTTGCTACAGGATGGTCTTTCTGCAGCAGCAGTGATCATCAGTTATCCTGAGCACTCACTTTGCATTCGAGGCCAGCTCATCTAAACAAACACTGTCACCCACATAACTACAGGCAACTTGTAGACATGGGGGGCGGATGTGGGGGATGGGAGAATATTTCCTACCTCATTGTGTCCTTATTTTTTCAAAATTTGAGATTTGGCCACTGTCTTAATCTGCCAAAACACGTTGGGCTGCCATAACAAAATACTACGGGCAGGGTGGTTTAACTAACAGGAATTTATTTCTCATAGTTCTGGGGGCTGGAAAGTCCAAATTCCAGGTGCTGGCTGATTTGGTTCCGGTTGGGGGCCTCTTCCTGGTTGGCAAATAGCAGCCTACTTGCTGTATCCTCACATGGCAGAGAGCAAGAGAGATTTTCTCTCCTGTGTCTCTTCTGAAAGCACTAATCCCATTCATTGAGGGCTCCACCCTCATGACCTGATTACTCCCCAGAGGCCCTGCCTCATGTTCCATCACATGGGGATCAGGACTTCCACAAACGAATTTGTTGGGGTTGGGGGAGAGACATTCAGTCCAGAGCAGCTACCCAGGTTTTGAGATTAATAATCACATGCTAGGGTTAAATTCCCAAGGCCTCTCCTTCTCTAGCCTCCATCTCAAGTGTGTTTTACCCTAGAGGGGACATTTTGCTGACTGGGATTCATTCAGCCTGTTCTTAGTGGTCATATCCCCAATTTGCCTCTGGGGTCCACCTCTTTTCCCACTCTTAGCCCAGTGTGTTTGGTTCAGAAATGTGTATAATGAATTCAGTAATTATTAGCTGGAGTTAGAACTTCTGATTGTGAGATGCAAAAAAGAAAAAATGTAAGTTAAACAAACAAAGGATATGTTTGTGTATGTCTGAATCCATTAAGTGTATTAACATATACATTTACACATAATTTTTATTTCACTTTATGGATATTTGACATCTGTATCAATTTTTTTAACCATGAACATGTTACTTTCACAGTTTAAAAAATTAGATTAAATTAGAACAAACATTTTAAAGTAGAATAAAATGTTTTCCAAAATTTTCTTCCTTTTAGCCTTAGCAACTCTTCATTTGTTTAGTTTCAGGAAATTATCAAGCGTGTGCATCTAGTTTTAATATTTTTCTTATTTTCTTTAAAAATTATTTTTAAATGAAGAAAAATACAAACAAAAAAAACACACACTTATCTTTCTGTGGAGCATCTTTTTCAGTGATCTCTTCATTCACAGATCCGAAGATTATATAGACAACATGCATAGTGCTACATAAATCTGACCATATTTTTATATAATTTACTTTAACTAACTAATATTTTATAAGCTTCTTTTCATGGCAATAAATATGAATCTGCTAAACCATTTTTAATGGCAGCATAATATCCCTTTGTGTCTTTGTACCAAATTTTATTTCACTGTACCCATTATTACCTATTATTGGATATTTGATTGTTTCAGATTTTCCTGTTATAAACAATGCTGCGTTGAGCATCTTATACAAATCTCTCTCCTCAGTTGAGTGATGACTCCTTAGGTGAAATTCCTAGATACAGGGTACTTTTGTCAAAGGATATACATTCATTTTTCTTTTTCAACATACTACTAGTCTGCCCTTCAGAAAGATATACCAATTTACATCTCTAATAATGGTGCAGAGGGTGCCCTTTTCCTCACACACTTGCCAAAATTAATTTTTATCAATTTTCCAAAACCTTTGACAATCTGATAGACCCACTTATTTTAAATTGTAGATGGTTGTTAGCATTTTAAAAAAGGTTCCCTTCATAGCGAGGCAGCAGCGCTGATTAGCACTCCTCTTCTATTTATAACATGTAACAACACTCCTCTGAATGAATAGCTTCATGATAACTTCCTTCTTGGGCGCACTTACTGAAAATGTGTGGGCAAATTCAACTTTGGGTTTCCCATGCAAAAATCTCCTGAAGACATGTTTCAGAGGAGAATCTATAGGAAGGCTCAGCTGACAGAAACCACCAATTTGAACATGAAACCTTCATTGCCTGAGTCTGACTCAGAGTAGTCAGTTACTGAGGGAGCAGATTTATTGGTCAATTCTGAGAAGAAGAAAAAAAAAGAAAAAGAGAACCAACTCTACCCCAAAACCAGTAAGAATAATAACAACAACAGACAAACTTAGTCGATTCAGTTTTCAATGTGAATAATCTCAAATCTACTTTTTTCCCACTCAGGGTCAATGAAAAATAACTTCAATCAACATTTTATTTATCCAGCACAGTAAACAATATTTGTTTTATTTCCATGAATTCACAGTTTGTGAGCCTTTGGAGGGGACCCAGGTTAAAAGTAATCTTTGCTTAGCAAAGCTTTTCCTCAGGGAGAAAAAAATAAAAAGCAAGTTAATAGTGCAAACAAGACCAGGGAAATATTTAAACTGCATAAGAGGACAATCTGTGTTTAAAAACTCTGAAAGTTCTTGGTAACCACTCACATGTTAATTGAACAACTTAATCTGGTCAGCAAATCATGTTTTCTAAAGACTTATTCAATACTCTGCTTTTAAGTCTGTGTTCCTTACTGTACTCTAGAAAGTAAAAAAAAAAAGTCATATCTACTTTATAAAACATGTTTATTATTAATTCTGATTGACTTCTTCTCCTATTAGTAAAAGAACTTTCCTGCATTACGATGGTTCATGGACAGAAACACTACAGCAGTTCACTCTACCCTGCTTAACTAATACTACTAATTAAATTCACATATATTCCTCAACATGGCTTTAATTCGGCTTAGTAAAGTTTTACCCAACCTACTGACTTTCATCTACTTGTCCAAGTAATGCACTGAGATTCATTTTAACTGGGATGTTAAAGAAACTGCAAAGCTGTAATAAAAGTGAAAGAAAAGGTAGAACTAAAAACATTCTTTTATTTTCTCCATAATTTTGTCTCTAAATTAATTTTTTTTGTTTATAAAATTTGCCTTTATTCCTAAGTGGGAGCTTTCTTTAGAGGACATCTCAGACTTCATTTTTCATACACTATTGATTGTGTCTGTAACTATTCTGAACAAACTGGAGTATAAGTAAACAATTTTTATTACCATATTAGGGAATTTGTAAACAAATATTACAATATATTCAATTGAAATTTTAAAACTTTAATCCTGGGTTTCTAATATTTTCTTAGTCCTAGTTACCAGGAACCCAATAATTCCTGTGGGCTCTAGAGGTTAGCATAGGAGATAAATTGTACTGAAAACATGTGATCTTTCCCACTAGGACATACATGATCTGAAGGCTTTGTTGTTAGTCAGGGTCATGTTCCCAGAGTATAGCCTCTCCTTACAAAGCTGAAGATTTATAGTTACTGTAAGTACCAGTGCAGTCCTTTGAAATCTTTTTCGAGATTTAGGACATTTTAATAATATCAATGTTACTACTTCTGAAATAGTAATCATGCTAATGGGATTCATTTTTTAGGACTTAAATTGTGCTAGGGAATGTGTTAAAGGTTTTTGCTTACTTTTAAAATTTTTAACAATTCAAGTTATAATGATGACAAAGCTCATAAACTGATAATATTATTTCTATTTTATAGTTGGGGAAACTGCAGTCAATGGTATTAATGCATTTGCCCATGTAAATAAACCACAATAAAGGAAAAAAAAAAAAAAACAGTTGTCCTGAGTTTTTTCCAAGGCCCACACCACTTCTGCCAGACTAGGCTGCCTCTCCATTATATACAGTTCAGGGACAGCAAGATGTTTGTTAATAATAATATTGATGAATATTTGTAATACATTAGAGTCTGCAAAGCATATTTTCATATATATG